ACAAGTGTAGTGGAGACAAATACCCAAAATTAGGGTTTTTTTTTAATTCTCAATTTTTTTTTGAAGTGAAACAAATAAATTACTTTGAGAAAACTTGTGCAATAAAATGTTGGCGTGCAATGAGAAACATCATTCATAGTTATTCATTTGTTGCTCAAAAGATGATAAAATGGCGTGCTAAACCAAACGTACTCATCATCACTATCACTCCCTTCATCAAAACCTAACTCATCTTTCCAACAAACTATACAATAAAAACAATTCAAGCTTATATGTCTGCATTGACAGTGTAAAAAATATTTATGTGTATAATCAGATCACTTATATATATCATGATCATTAGCATTCTTAATAAAAAATTAATGTAACTAGCGCACTATCGTATATGTGAAATTACATTCGCAATATGGCAAATAAAAATTACACTATCAATATATATTACTTCAACTTAGGGTGGGGAACAAGAAGGAGTAATGTTTCAAATATATCCCTTTTGTTTTATATTAATTTTCCATTTCGTCTTTACACGTTGCCTTTTTAAGAAACCTTTGAAACTTTATAAATTTATTTACACTTTAAAAATAAAAATCGTAACAGTAAAATAGGAAATAAAATTAATTTTTATCTTAATTATATAAACAATAAATAATTTGAGATAACTATTTTTAATAACGTAAACAACTAATATGGAACGAATAGAGTATGATTCGATAGAAATGTGACTATATCTAGTGGTAATAAATATATGCATGCGAGAAGGTTTTAGATACGCAATCATGCATTTGCATTTTCACTAATCATAATGGCACAACATATAGATATTTCCATTGTCACCTTAAAAGATAGATTTCAGGCTCTCGTTCGATCATAGATTTTGATATTAAAATTTAAAATTTTGAATTTTTTATATTTTAATTTTGAAACTTGAATTATAAGAGGAAGTAAAATTTCTTTCAGTAATCAAGACAAGTAAATATATTTTGAAAATAAAATTTTAATATCTAATATATAAAAATTTATGATGAAACGCTACCTAAAAACTCACAAATCATGGAGGATATAATTAATTTATTAAGTTAGGTGGAAATACTTTAGTTAGAGATAAGTTATGAAGGAAACATGTATATTACATGGTAGTTGTGTTTTTGTGAGACATTAAAATTACTTATCTAACTTTTGTCACCATTTTTTGAAACTTGAGGGACCCTTTTAAATAATTCAAAACTTTGATGATGTCACTCTTGGCATCAGCATGACTTCTGTTACCTAAAAGGAATATTTTACCTGATTTTGTTTCATCTCATCGAGGTTCGAAGGTATATTTTTTTCTTATCGATGAGCTTCTAAGAGACAATGCTAAATAATTGATATTTCACTTTATTGTAAAAAAAAAATAATCAATTTTTTCTTATACTTGCCCTTCATTTCTAGCTTATTCGATTATGTATGTAGTTGTATTTTTTCCTTTTCATTGTGCCTTTTTTCATTAAAGCTTTGTTATGAACGAGTCAGGACCAGTATGTGCAAAGCAGCCCAACACCGAATTAAGAGACTATGTATGAGATCCGGATTAATTAATACGACTTGTGAGAGAAAATTAGACTTATGCAAATTGTTGAGTCTAAACTTCTCATCGATCTCCCTTCTATGGTCTATCAATTCCCTAGTTCTTACATTCAGTATTTCTACATTTCCGTTTGAGTTTTTGCTATTTGCATTGTTGCGTTTACTTTTCGGATTTGTAATTGAACTCTAGTCTAATTAAATTAGTTAGAGAAGCTGGTTAGTGTTGCATAGAGTTGAGTTCATTACAATAGCATCAGAACAAGAAATGCACAACACAACAGAGTAAATAAAGTTACAGCAAACATGACAAGGGAGAAATTGAAGCACAAACTATAAACTTGCAAAAGTAACAACTCCCAAATTCTAAAACTTGGAAAATATTAACAATATGACAATTTTCATTAATGCTACTCCCTGATGATGATTTAAACAATCATTTAGTGATACAACATTGGAGGAACTCCAACCTCAGTTATGCCTTCAAGCATTTGCATCACCATCTTCATTGAAGGTCTAACAGTTGGATCAGGATGGACACACCACAATCCCACCTTAACGAATCGTTCAAGTCTTTTAATATCATTCAATATTTCAGGATCACTCCTTGCAAGTTTGTCAATTCTACCACTTCTCGCACAGCCTGAAACCCAATTTACAAGCAATAAATCATCACCTTCATCGTCTTCACTCTCTTCCTCTACCCTGCTAAGCTCAATATGCCTTCTACCACATGTGATCTCTAGTAACATTATACCGTAACTAAAGATGTCAACTTTGGGTGTTATTGGAGCATTCTTTAGCCATTCTGGTGCTAAATATCCCACTGTCCCTCTTGCGCAAGTATCTGTTCTAGTTTGATCCTTCTTCAAGAGTTTTGATAGCCCAAAATCTGAAATTTTGGCATTGTATTTGCTGTCAAGAAGTACATTCTGAGGCTTTATGTCACAGTGGATGATTGGAGAATCACATTCTTCATGCAGATAAAGCAGTCCTCTTGCAATTCCTAGTGCCATTTCAGTTCTGTGACTCCAAGTAGGCAGTATTTCTTCCTTGAACAAAAAATCTGATAATGCTCCATTTTTCATCAACTCGTAAACCAAAATGAAGTGATTATCCTCAATGCAAAATCCTAATAGCTTTACTAAATTCTTGTGATGAGTTCTACCTATGATTTTTAGCTCTGTCATGAATACGTTCTCACTTGGCTCTGCAACGTCTTTCATCAGCTTCACCGCAATCTCTATTTGAACATCCTTTAACTTGAGATTCCCATAGTAAACTTTTGCAGAAGCTCCTTTTCCAAGTTGCTTGCTGAAGCCATTAGTTATTTCATGCAACTCTTTGTATGTGAACTCGCGGAAATTGATACCTATTCTTGATGAATTTGGATTCCACTCTCGTTTTACAAGTCTACGAGGAGCAGGATGATAGTAAAAAGCCAGGGCTCCAAATAGGACAGTAAGTGAACTGGTAGTTATAAGGCCAGCAGTGAGATGGGCTCTCGTGTTGGATTTCTTTTTTGTTGATATGTCATCTTTAGCTGACTTAATAGGCACCTTGATGAAGGAAATGCTACCTGTGGTCATAGAAGTTCTACGGGCGTTGAGTATAGGAGTACGCCTCTTGTGACATTCATTATTGATTAGAGAAGCAGCCATGGCAGAACAATCTTCCATGACAACCTTCTTGCATCCCTCCTCGTCGACATCACGATAAATTTCATAATCTCCAACCTCATTGTAAGGCATGTCACTGTCCTGAATAGACTCTAATGTGAAATTTCCAGTAGATAGATGATCTGCACAGAAGTTGATTATTGTCTCTGGATGACAACCTTTGGTAGGATTACTTTGATCCAAGAAGACATACCCCGGAAGACAGTCACAATTTACAGTTTCATTATCATTTGAGCTACACAGTCCATAAGCCCCACAAACAGCATTAACCATACATGGCTCTGAAGGGATCTTGAAAACTCTAATCCAATTTCTACCATTAGTCTTATGATAAGCATACTGCTGGAAGTTGCCAAAACTGTCTATAGTTGCACGGTGGTAGTAGTCTTCAACTGGGGTTGGCACGTTCGATGGAAAAGAAAAAATTGTGTTATTTTTATCTTTCACAAGGTACAAAGATGCATTCCTCTGGTCGAAAACTAAATTCACTTCACCGTTTCCTTCATCCTCTTCACTACTCAGCCAATATCCTGCATCCCCAAAACGATACGCAGATAGTACCAATTTTCCATCAAATTGCATTTCTAGCATGAATTTCCCTTTCGAGTAGTTCAAATTCCCATTTGAAATAGAGTTAGAATAGAGCTTTCCTGCTGATGATAAAGTTTGTCCGGGCAAAAGTGTATCAGTAGGAGAGTTAAAGCTTTCCCAAACATTATTTGAACTTGAATCTCTCAAGACAAGATTTCCATCATCTTGCATGGTTCCCAAAGTTGCAATCCCATTGCTAATCTGTTGAGCTGTGCCATTAGCATAGTTGAGCACAAGCTGGCCACCATCTGTTAGACTAATAGTTGATCTTATTTCAGCTGGATTGTCGCGATTTGCTGACCAGACAAGTGGTGTTTCCTGGATTTTGTTAAACCAAATTCCAACTAGGAATAGGGTATCTGAAACAGGATAAAATCCGAAGGCAAAGTCCCCAGACAATGATAACAAAAAACCATTTTCTCCAGCAGTGAAAGTAGTACCTATGCTAATATTTGGATTATTTTGACCATTTGACTGATGATGAAGGATTAAAAGGAGGAATGCAAGAAGATTAAGAGATATTCTCATCTCAGTATGAAATCAGAAGCCCTTCTTTTAAACAATAGGAAGTAACAAATGATTTCTTATACACATTGGCTCACTAAATTTCTTGATCTATCCAGAAATTGTTTGTAGTATTAAAGCCATCAACTTTGACAATTTTTTTCTAAAACAACTCTCTTTGACTATTAGCTAGTTTGGACTAGAGAATTGGTCCTGATAACGCCCTTTTCGGTCTATCTATTATTAATGGTGAAAAGAATGATTGAAAACAACACGAGTTGAAAATTCAACTTATGATATATACATATACCTGGTTCATTTTCCCCTCAATGAATATGTGAGGAAGGAGTTCAGCATCTGCTTGATGTTGACATGTTACCAAAATCACATTGACTGGAGCTTTGACAACTTTTTCATGCTTCATAGTAAGTAAAACTCTAACTAAAGAGAGAGGATTTAATGACCAAAGATACAACGGTTCATTAACAGTTTCAAGAAACACCATGGAGATGCAAAATAATTCGTAGTGCTTCGTGCATAAGAATTTATACTAATGCTTCTCCAATATTGGACTAATCGATGATCCATTTTCTGCTCGAGAATGAAGTGATTGCTTATTACCACGGACTTGAACACAAGTACTAGTGACATTAAAGAAGACTCTTCAGAAGGAAAAGTGTAGCTCACTTGAGAGAAAAAACACAAACTTTTGCACCAGAGAATTATGAGAAAAAACACTGAAATCCAACTAAGGTCTAATGACTAATAAAACAGAAGGACACTTAATTGTTGAAAAAATTACAAGATAATACAGAAAATGACTCATATAGTTGTATCAACCATAGGAGGAACACCTAGTTCTATAGTTCCTTCCAACATCTGAACAAGCTTTGCTGCAGATGGTCGTAGATTCGGCTCAGGACACAAGCACCATAGGCCAACCATAGTCATCCTCTCAAAATTGTTAAAATGTAACATAATTTCTTCATCAAGAGTAGCAACAGCTCTCAGCTTCTCGTTTCTCACGCAATGAAGAACCCAATCGACTAAGATCAACTCGAGCTCTTCATTTTCTTGGCCGATTGGGTTCAAGTCCATGTGCCTTTGGCAGAAAATAATCTCAAGCAGCAACACACCAAAGCTGTAGATGTCAACTTTGGTTGTGACGGGCATGTTTTTGAGCCATTCTGGTGCCATATAACCCATGGTTCCTCTAAAATTCGTGTTTGTTCGCGTCTGGTCTTTCATAAGAAGCTTTGCAAGACCAAAATCAGCAATTTTTGCAATGTTGTTCTTGTCAAGAAGGATATTTTGTGGCTTAATGTCGCAATGAATGATCTGGTTCTCGCACTCTTCATGCAAGTATAACAGGCCTCTGGCAATGTCAAGTACTATGTCACATCTTAGCTTCCATCTTGGTTTTTGCCCATCGCAAAAGATAATATTTGACACAGCCCCATTTTTCATTAATTCATAAACAACAAGCCTGTTGGTTTTTTCGTTGCAGAAGCCTAACAAATGTACCAGATTTTTGTGATGTGTTAGGCCTATCACCCTTACTTCTGCCAAAAATTCTTTATCATCACCTTGTTCAATTCCATTTCCTAATTTCTTCACAGCAACTTCAACTTCTTCATCCTCTAACTTGAGAATTCCGCTATAAACAGCACCGGAAGCTCCTTGGCCTAATTTATTCTTGAAACCGTTGGTAGCTTCGTGCAGCTGCTGGAACGAAAATGCCCTTAAATTCATCTCAATTGCCTTTCTTTTAGGAGGGGTTTTGGCATCTCTATATTTCTTCACAAAAGGGTGATAATATATAGCAATTGCTGCAAAAAGCGGAGCGAGTACTGAACATACTGTCACACCTGCTACCAAAACACCCTTTGATACAGGATGCTTTTTGGTTTGAGTTTTCGAAGAGTTGCTAATTTTAAGAAATGCAACCATGTTATTTGTATCAGGATTAATACTTCTGGCATTCTGTATTGGCATCCTCTTCTTGAAACATGTTGAATCATTAAACACAGCTGCCTCACAAAGACAATCATTCAACACTTCCTGCCTGCAAAGCTCCTCTGTAGTTTCAAATACCCTTTCTAGTTCAGAATACATCCTATTAGGGAAATCAGTATTAGAGATCCTTTCAACGTAGACATCCGAAAGGGAAGAATTCGGATCACAATAATCTTTCATTTCATTCGGATAACATCCTTTAGATGGATTGTACTGATCCCTTGGAGAATAGCCTGGCAAGCAACTACAATTGACTTCCTTATTATCAGGTGATTGGCAAAAGCCATATACACCACAAATGTTATTCACAATACAAGGCTTCACGATAACTTGCATCGCAATATTCCAACCGCTCCCATTTACTTTTCTGTGGAAGAGCTGTTGGAAATCTCCTTTATCAGTGATCATAGCTCTGTGGTAATAATCTCGAACTGAATCAGGCAAGTTGGCTGTCCATGTCATGTTGGATATGATTGAGCTTCCATTTGTAATGAACAAAGTATCACTGTTGTTGTCGAAGACCAGTCTTACATTATTATTGTTTGCAGTTATAGAATTCCAGTAGCCAATATCAGCAGTTCTATATGCAGACAAGACGACATTCCCATCTCTCTTCTGCACCTCTAGTCTATACTTCCCCGTCGAGTAATCTACTGTCCCATTGGCACTGGAAAACAGCGCCTGCCCCATATCAAGATGTTGACCAGGCAAAATTGTATCTGTTGGAAAATCAAAGCTTTCCCACAAGACACCTGAGGATGAATTTTTCAGGACGAAATTTCCATCGTCTTGCATAGCAGCATGACTAGTGCCTGTGCCATTGTACAAAACGAACTCTCTACCATTAGTATCTGTCAATACGAGGCGTCCACTCAACGTCAGATTAACCTTTGATCCAGCATGAACTGGATCATCGCGATTGGCTGACCAAACGAGAGGTCTATCGAGGATTTTATCAAACCATATGCCAACAAGGAAGAGTCCAGTAGTGTTAAGATGGTAGAAACCAAAAGCAAAATCTCCAGAGGATGAAAGCCAGTGTGAAGATGCAGTTCCAGCTGTGAGATGGGAACCAAGAGGGACAATATTGGTAGTTTCTTGACAGAAAGAGCTAATAAATGTAACATAAATTGAGACAAACCACAACAGGATTTTCCAAGAAACCATTTTTACACAATGAATTGTTGGAATCTTATGGAAAATACTTTATTCTTTTTGAGATTTTATAACTTAGATATATAAATGAAGAATAAAAATCTTCTAGTCAAAAGGCCATTATCAAAGACTTGCATATTATATAATGCACAAGGCTATGACTATGAGGTCACTAGAATGTGTGGAATTCTTTTCATTTGTTTTGCAATATTATTACGCCTCTACCTCAATTTATGTGACACCATTTGACCAACACAAAATTTAAGAAAAAATGTAGACAAATGAAATTTGTGGTCTAAAACAAATTTTAGATATTTATATGACTATAAATCATTTTACTATCGGTAAAAGAAAAATTTGAAAGTTAAATTCTTCTTACTATTGAAAGATGACATTCTTTTGGAACGGATTAAAAAGGAAAGTCTGTCACTTGAACAGACAGATTACATTATCTAGAAATAGTCTATATGGATCGTGGTAAGCCAAGTCATGAAAATGACAGGAAGATTATATGCACCATGTAAATTGGGAGTTAGACTAAAATTAGTACTAGTCTTCTTCTTTATATGCATGCACCTGACTAGTCTTCTTTTTTTATACTTTTTCGACTCGACACAGAGTTAAAGAAAAGTAAAAAAGATTTTTGAATTATGTGATCTTAAACATATCAAGTGAAAAACTAAAAGCAAAGAGTTGCAGAGAAAAAAAAAGGGAAATAGACATTTTTCTTGCTGCAATGGACTAAAAAGAAAAGTAAGACAAACGAATTAAGTTTCTAATGATGATGTAGTTTTCCAACCTAGTCTTTTCCTGGAAACTGCAAGTCTTCTGATACTCCAAGTTTTGTTGAAAAATCTTTTGATCATGACTTTAGTAAATACATGAATTAAATTTATGAAAGTGATCTTTATCAATGAGAGTATTATAGAAGACTCAGTCAACCTTGACAGCCTGATGAAAAGTCATTGATCAAATGCTCATTCAACTAACACAATTTTTATATATCTCATGAGTCACAAAGTCAGACAACTTTGTTTTATAACATAAAAATCAATCAACTTTGTTTTTCAATCAATAAGACACTCAACCATTCTTAAATATAGCTTTAAGAAAATTTCGGGACAAGAGTATCTATCGGAAATATAACTTGAATTGGTTAAGTGACTTGTTGGGGAAATAGCAGTAGTTGAGTGACTTTTGTAGCAGTAATTCAAACTTTAACTTGAGAAAACTTGATGCTGCACCAAGAGAACAATTTGGAAAAGAATTTCTTGATGCTAATTTGGTAACTCATCACACATATACGTGAATATTATTAGATTAGCATAGAAATACACGTGCAACGCACTAGTCCAACAATGGGTTTCTTTCAAAGAAATTTGTTGGACGGAGCTCAAAAGCATCATAGAGTGTTGGCATTATAGGATAATCTTCTTGGCAAGGTACATGATGGAATCCGAGTGTGTACCATAGCACAATATCCTCCTTTTCAATTGATCTATTCCTGCATACATTAAATTTTTATACTATTACTAGCAAGTAGTTTTCAGGTTAGTTATCCCATATTTTAACGATAGTACGTGCAGTTATCTTTAGATGACCAGATTGGGTAACTACTTATCTTATTCTTCAGTTTACTATTTTTTCGATCTTTTTTATGAATTTTTACGTGTTGCTAGAACAAGAGATGATTTTACCTTCCACTCCAGACTGTGAGTCCATCATCACCATGACTTGTATCAGCATAAAATCCAGCAGCCCATCTTTCTGACTTGTTGTAAGGAGTCACCCACAGTTGATACTTAGTATAAGCTGCTCTAATTTGAGGATAATCATCATCTGTTAACAAAGACATTGTTGGTCTACTTGGAATTAGCTTATACCCTACTTCATTTCCAATTTTACTCTTTTTTTCAGTATTAACAAACAACAATTCAGCTGCTTCAATCCCAAGTTGTGTCCTGCCTTCAGATTCTGTTTTCATAGTTTCTTTAACAACACTCCAATAACTCTTCCTTGGTGACATTTTCTGATCTTTCACTCTTGTAGTTTTCAGTTTGGCTTTCAAGAATGAATTTTTACTACCATCCACATCAAGATCAATGCGGTACGTAAGGAAATGATCATGGTTCACTGCAATTGTGTTTTCTGCCACAAGGGTACCGTAAACATCCTGGTTTATTTGTTCATTGTTCGTATATTTCACAGCCTTCATCTCCATAATCCCTGTTAGACTTGCCTTCGCCAACGAAAAATGGAACAATATAAGACAGAAGATTAAAGTGAAAATGATTGACTAGCTAATATATAGTATCTTATTGATTCTTACTCCAACTTTAATGGATCCACTTTGTTTGAACTCCCAATCAAGTATATAGTCATAATTTCCAACTGTTGCTACCATTCTGATTACCAAGTTAACTTCTTTCTGTCCCTTGGTGTTCTACAAAAGCCATATAGTTAATTATGTCAATAGAGTGATCACAACTAAGTAGAGAAATTTTCAGTTTAGAAGGCTTATAAATGTTCCACGTACTTCGTTTTCTGTATGCCTCCATGCAGCATTGCCAGCATATCGTTCAAAAATGCAAATAGCTCGAGGGACTTGTACTACTTGACTTTCTGAATCAGCCATGTAACCATCCATAGACACCGCATTGTTTGGACAGTCCAACGACTTGACAAGGGTACTAGCCGCTCTCCCAAAACCATATTCACCAGCATCCATAAATGTTCTGTAGTACCATTCAAATGTTGGATCCATGTAAGGCACGAATATCTCAGAGGGATGACCTCTATAAAGCACACGTCGATATTCACTTCTCACAGCATCGAATATAGAAGCTGTAGATATGATCATCCCTGCTCTAGTATTGAATCCAACATGAAGTTTCCAATTAGCCCAACTAACTTCATGACCTTCGATTTTTATCCTGGAGGATCCTGTTTCATTGCAAGTAACTGATCCCTGGCTCGACGAATTGAAATCAGCATCTTTTGCTTCAGGCAAGGGGGTCCTGAATCTATCCAAATACTCGATGATCTTCATTGATTCAACATCTACTAGTATAGTGATTCCTTCAATAGGCCTTGCCCAAATGTTAGTAGTCCCTCCGCTATAAAAACATGGAAGACTAAGAACTCTAATGGTCTTATCCTGACCAAACCATCCAACTGATAGTGGTATGCAGCTGACTTCAGATATATTCAAGCCCCTCCGTGAAATCGATTCTTGAAATTTAGGATTACTCAATGGCAGGATGCTAGACTGTATAGCTTCATTGGAAGTAAAAGGAGGAAATCCATGACCTGAGAACAACTTTTGTGATATGATAGAGCTAGCAGCCAAGTCTAGTGTGAGTTCATAGGACTCACCATTAGCGCGAACTACTACCCTGGCTCGACGATAAGGAAAAGATGCATTGTGTAACTTATGATTTGAAAGCCAATGCAGGACATCATTCTTTTCTGGTTCATCAAGATCTACATCATGAAATGTTACATTGGAAAGGTGGGATTTTTGGATAATGACTCTAATTTTGTTGATTTCATCAGGATTAAGAGGGTCCAAAGGATGACTTTGACAATTAATTGAAAAGAACAAGAAGAAAAATGCAAAAGAAATGTGTAATACTTTTATCAGTTCCATCAAAGAAGTGATGCTCTCAATTCATATGATGTTTCCACCTATACAGCTATCTTGGTTTTATAAACTTGTTTACAGTTTTACAAAATTATTATAAAAAAAAATATAATAATAATTTTATATACTTCTTCGTTTCAATTTATTTGGTTTGTTTGAATTGACACAGAGTTTAAGAAAATAAAAAAAGTTTTTAAATGTTATAATCTTAAATTAAAGATATGCAAAATGTGTCAAATATTTTATATATTTTTCTTCTCTTTTCGATTCTGTAGTGGTTATATAAAATTTGTTGGATCACGAGAAATGCATTTAACAAATTATTTTTACACCCTGTTGACAATATTTTATAGAAAAGTCAACAAATATTATACTAATCTTATTGAGAGACTGGTGCTTCAACTACTTGTTTGCATTGAGAGAACATCATAATCTGGTGTCAGAGTGTTCATTGTACTTTATATCGAAACATATAGTATTTTGAACATGTTCAAAATCAAGTCAATTGCTCAATTAGTTTCCACATATAAGCAAATACTATTGTTTCAAAATTCTTTAAATAAATGGCATCTTCTGAAGACCTTTAACAATAATAATACTAATAACTTACATAAATCCTATAATATATAATCTAAATTATATTATATCTTTACTTTTTCCTATTTTATAAAAATTTATGTATAAATTTAAGGAATCCCATAGTGTAATTCAATAATTACATTCTGTCCCGACAAGTTTAGTAATTACAAAAAATCTCTTAAATGTGTTGAGCCGTGATACTTTAGATTGTAGTGATACATGGTAAATGATACATGGTAATTTAAAACTGTTGAGAAAAAATAGGGGGAAAAAACGGTAAAGTTATGTTGTTAGTAAAACAGCTTAATTTGTGGTAACAGATCATTAATCAACATT